CATGGATAGGGTAATACAGCAAGCGGCAGTTTTCATCAACCCTTCCTTGAAGTGTCAAATTTGACAATGAACCCCTCTCACGTGTATGGTGCTACTGTGTTTCGCACATGCAGCTCAGTGGTTCTGTTGGGGTGATAAGATCTTCATCTGTGAACATACATGTACTCTCAAAGCATGTCAGGGGTTCATGACTATCATATCACAACCTGCATAGGTATTTGTATTTCAATATCCCCTACTTTTTTTAAAGAGTATATATCTACGATATGTGAAATAAAATAAGTGCGTATAATCTTATATAAGTACACGCGTTTTATAATAAGTACATGTATATAAAAGTCATAAACTTATGTCTAGGTATATTATAACTGTTATTAACCAGTCATGGTGAATGACAAGTTTCTAAATGATTACAGAACATTAAATGATATTACTATTAGTTGGTTTGTCAATAGAATTCCAACAGAGATAGCGTATGATACGATCTATTTATGAGCGATGTGTGGACTATGGGGATCAAGGCATTTTTAAAAGAGATGTATATGTCTTAAAGAATGCGTAACATAAAATTATAGGCTTGCTTATTTTCATGAAAAGAAAATAAGTTTAAATACCGATTCCGAATAATAGTCGAATTATCTAACACGAGTGATCGAAAACCTAGAAAATTAGCGATTAAATATAAACGATTTTTAAAAAAGTGCCAATGAAAAACATTTAATTGACAAATTGAAATCAGTTCATTGAATTGACAATCCGTACCTGTCAAACTTTATGTCTATGCGTCACAACATAAAGTGCGACATTCAAGAGACCACCTCAACATCAAAGATATAATTTTCCAAAGAAACAAGATGATAGTTAAATCATGCGATCATCTATGGAAGACGTCGCTCCCAAATTTTCACAATGTTTTTTTATTTTATTGGTGTTTTAAATTTCACGCTCACTATGATTTATCCGATTCTATTATAAACGCCAGTTGACTCATTGAAAGATATTATGATACAGCACGCGTGCTACCCATTCGCCCCCCCCCCCCGTCTATATAGAGCAGTTGAGAAAAAACAAAACAAAAGGTGAGAGCTTACAGACTGATAAGATTAATACTTTACGTGTATAATTCGTCAATCGAATTGAATTAAATAAAAAAGACCAGCTTGTTTTTTGATTAAAATAAAATGGGGTTGAAGGTTTTACCTTTTTTGCACCAAGCGGGATAATGCAACTGGGTAGACGGTTATTTATCCCACCAGTACGACTAGACACTGTTCCTTGTGATGTGAGCCCCCTATCCTGCACCAGGGGGGTCTTATTAGCCATTGTGGCTCTCCACATTTGTTTGAATTGTGTTTTGATTGTCTTTTTTTGTCTTTCGATAAAATTAGTCGGACAACAAAAATTACGTGCAAGAAAACGCCAATTTTGAGATCTAGCCAATGTTCAGTAATTACTTTGAATAAAAATTCTGTCTTTTTAATTTTAGGGATCACGTGGCTAAGTGGGTAAGACGCTGGCTCGCTAGCCTGGAGGTCGGGTGTTCGATCCCTGCATTGGCCGAGAAAGTTCATCCAGATTTTCCAGCGTGGATTCCCCTTGTCAGTGATGCAGGACATACAAGCCAGATGGTTTTTAGCTGTCTTTCGAGATGTGCCAGTCCATATTTACACTATAGAGGAAGAAGAAGAAGAGGACGGAGGGCCTGACAAGGACAGCTGACTAGTCGTTCGGATGGGACGAAAAACCGAGGTCCCTTGTACAAATTGGCGTGCACTTAAAAGATCCCTTGGCAGTTGGAATTCGATATAAGAGTAGGCCGTAGCGCCGCTGCCCGGGCAAAATTTCCCTCATAGCACACTGTATGGCGTATGCCCGTCTTCATTAGCCCAGTTTAGGAGCAAAACAGTAGGACGTTAAACCCCATTTCATTTCATTTCCTACAATTTTATTTTAGGACAACACACTGTACACTGTAAGTAATTTTTCTCATAGCGTTTAGTTGTAATGTTAATTACCAATAACCCATCGCTTATTTCTCAACTTCCAAAAGCAAGACAACGAGGTTTTGTTTATATATCTAAATCGTAGTAAATAGAAGCGCTTCAAGGTTAAAATATACAAATAAAAACAACATTAAATACATTATTTAGGAGGACAGTTATTTGTGTTTACATAGTAATTTATTTATACCTTTGACCTTGGTAATTTTTTTCTCGTTGAAGTTTAGTGAAGCAAAAAACTGAAATTTGTCCAATACGAATTTTAAAGTTCAACAAACCTACTTTATTTACAATGTAGTGAGAAAGAGATGAAATGGGGTTTAAAGTCTGTGCCAATTGGGCGAATGAAAACGGGAGTAACCCATGCAGCAAGGGGGTTGACCAGAGTTTTGAGAGAGAGTGGGGGGAAGTAACGTCCACTCGACACAAACTAGGTCATTTCAGGACTAACATATGGTTCAGTTTAATTTCAAAAATTCGCTTGCGCATAGGGGTCTTTAGCACTGCGAGGAAACCGGAGGACTCAGAGAAAACCCACGAGGTTGGACAGGCGACCCTACTCCTTGTCACGTACAAACCAAGGATCGAAACCACGTCTGTTGACTTAATGACAGACCTCATGATACAACGCGCACGCGCTAACCAAACAGTCATCAAACCCCCGACCAGAGTTTCCAAAGTTATCAACTAGCTTCAATGAGATTTGAATGACGAATAGATTTATTAAAGGGAGGTAAATCCATTTTCCCATCTTACTTAAATTATTTATAAACACCCGTTAACATGTTTCTTACAAATATTAACATATTCATATCTGATAAAAAGAAACAATAGTAATGTAAATTAGATTATTTATTTGTGTAGAAAAGTAAACAAACTATATACTAAATAGATATATCACAAATGTTTCACACATAAAAAATAAAATATTGCAGCCAGGACGGAATAAATAAATATTCATTGATGATATACAATAAATAAAAATCTTGTAATGCACACATAGTATAAATATAAATGATATATAAAAAAAGTTAACCATTCATGATATAATTTAGGAATGTAATAAAAAATATTTACAGTATAACTGATATGTCTTACTTAAACTCAGTGACAAAATAATGTTGCAACTGGAGTTTTACCACTTTTCAAAGATTGCATTTAAATATTCCGAATAATAAACCCAATTCCCTTTCATTTTTGATTTAAAATTTATCATATTTATCATATTCCATTTGTTTTTTATAGTTTAAAATTTGTTTTATATGTCTTCACTGACAGACAGGAGCCACGGTGTTCATTCCCTGTGATGGCTGAGAAAGTGCATCAGAATTTATCAGTATGGTTCCCCCTTGTCAGTGCTGCAGGACAGAGGGCCTGAAATGGGACAATGTATAGTCTTTCGGACGGAATGAAAAACCAAAGTCTCATGTAAACATTGGCGTGCACGTATAAGATCCCAATAAATTTGATTTTATTTGTCTTCAATTTTATTTCATTAATTCACTTGCACGTAGGTGTCTTTAGCAATGGGAGGAAACTGGAGGACCCGGAGAAAACCTGTGAGGTTGGACAGACGACCCTACTCCTTGTCACATACAAGCGGAAAATTGAAACCACGCCATCTGACTCAATGACAGTACTTAATGCACACGTTAACCATTCAGCCATCCACACCCCATTTATAAATAAGTGGAGAAAAAACAAAAGTTACATATAAATAGTTTACATCATGCTTAGTCAAAATTCACATGTGTGACCCCTATTGTGAATTCTTTCGCAAACAGATCAAATATGCAATCAAAGGTATATAAAACGAAATGCAATTTAGATCTGTATTTTAGTCAGACTAAATTAAAAATGTTCTGTTTTGATTAAATAATCGTTGGGTTGTTGAAGAAAATCCAACAAAAATTTTGAAATACCATCTTTAGAAAATATAAATTGTGTTCTATCTGTGTGTGGTGATGGGTAAAATGCAGCACGACTGTGATCACTCCAGCTTACTATACATAATCTAGGATACACATATAGTACACTCTCTTCATTCTCTAAAAATAAACAGATTATTATAATAAAGATAATATTCTTATATGACATTTAGAAGTAGAGGTTTTATATTTACAATAACACAACTTTATGGATTTACTACTTCTTGGTTTATATTACACGCAGTGTTTCAGTACTCTTACAGGTATCTTTATCAAGCGATGTGATAAAGATACCTGTAAGAGTATTGAAACGTTGTGTGTAATAAACCAAAAAGTAGTAAATCCATAAAGTTGTGTTATAAATAATAATAAAGATGCTTAGATAATTAGGGTGAGAATTGTATAAATTTGAAGAATGTCTCAAAGATAACAAGGTGTATTATAGTATATTTATAATATTCTTTATTCACACCACTAAGTGTTATGCTCAAAGAGGGAAACATTTACTAGGATGCAGGTAAAGTAAGATTATCTCCCTTTAAACATGAAACTGTTCGGTCAATCCTACTCTCTAACCACAGAACCAAATCCAGCCCAAATTTACTAAGTTGGTTCGAGCACAAAGTACAGATGAAATTGTAATCTAATTTTAATTTGAGTGAAAGTAAATGGTAATAACCTCTTGGTCAATGACATAAAAATGTTAGAGACAATTAAAGTTTGTGGATGGATGATTGTGGTGAGACTGAACTTATTTCCTATAATTATTTATATAGAAATTTACCAATACAGTACCTTGTATAGTATTTCTGTATCCTACAGGTACAAACTGTCCAGCCCATGCTGGATACATATCAACATCTAATGTTACAACCATAAATCTATTATAAAACTCATATCCTATATCTTCTAATATCTGTTATAAATACAAAATATTATACAACTCATATCCTATATCTTCTAATATCTGTTATAAATACAAAATATTATACAACTCATATCCTATATCTTCTAATATCTGTTATAAATACAAAATATTATACAACTCATATCCTATATCTTCTAATATCTGTTATAAATACAAAATATTATACAACTCATATCCTATATCTTCTAATATCTGTTATAAATTAACACACTTGGATATACTAATTCCGAATTTTATTAACATGCTACGTTTCAATACACATACAGGTATCGTGATCAAGGTTGATAATGATACCTGTATGTGTATTAAAACGTAGCATGTTAATAAAATTCAGAAGTAGTATATCCATATAAGTGTGTTAATTTTAGTGAAATCTATTTCTATGTCTTATAAGGATTCTGTTATAAATACAAAATATTATACAACTTATATTATATCTGTTATAAAAAAATATAAGATATTATAAAATGCATATGCTATATTTTCTGATCTGTTATACATACAAAATATTATACAACTCATATCTTATCTTGCAATATCTGTTATAAACACAAAATATCAAAATTTCTTTTCTTTTTATATCCCAATAATATTTATTCAAATTGATATGTATGGTAAAAGGAAATTAAAATAAAAAACGAAGAGTTTCACATGTTTAATAAGATTATAAATACTTACTTTTAAGAAAGTAGAATTAACTTCTAGATGCTTAGGTTCAACTAATGCAATAACAATAGGCAGATCATTATCTTTATATGGACTGAAAACAAAAACAGATTAAATATCAATAAATTTTTATCTTTCTCGGAAACAAGACTTACATGTATGCTCAAATTCTGGTTAATTTATTGATTGTGGGCTACTTTTTGTAGGCCCTTGTTTAGCTGGACCCATTGGTACCATGGTAAATCTGATACTGATACTCCCCCCGCACCCTTTCTCTTGGTACCAAAGGTACATGTTTATTTTGTATAATAGTACATCACAGGCTGAATTGGGAGTTATTCTAGACTGATTTTGATACCTCAAAACAGTGTTAAAATTAAAATCAAAATCTTCGACAATCACAGATCTAAGGGAACTGTGGACAATATTGGTTACATAACTAAGATCTGTGCACGCAATGCTTTTTAAATCAATCAGGCACCTTGTGCCCATAAAGTCCCACTAAGGCAGTCTTTAAAATATTTGAAGCCCATGGGCAAAGCAATTTCTTTGGGGGACCATTTTTTTTCATATTCAAACCTGAATCTGCTGGGTCCAGAAGAACATCCCAGTGTACTTAAATAAGATTGCCGGAGTTCCACTCCCTCAAATAGAATCATTTGGAATAAAAGATACGTCAATTATAGATGTTGTATTTTTAACTTACTTATTATTAGTGTGAAATAAAACTGATGTAAGATGTGTTACAGGCAGACGGATATGGTCTCTAACATAGGAGGTAATAAACTCACTACACATCCCATGATTCTCTTCACATTTCTGGTTCTGTCGTAAGTTGTACCTGATAGAATATAATAATACAGTAATGTTCTATATACATATTTTCTTCATTAACAACAATAATAATAAAACTTTATTAATTCAGTAATATTCAGGCACTGATCTTTTACAAAATTAATGAATATTCGGGTGATTGAAAATTTAAGCAAGGCAGAAATTTGGGATATCATAGCATTTTTATCAACAGTAAACTTTGCATAAGTCGGATCTAAATGGACTGACCAATTTTATCCGAGTTAGCCGAAAACCTAGTTCAGCTCTGAACGTAGGTCTCATTATCGCCCTACACGTTCAGGAACCGTCCGATTGAATCCTTGTCGAAATAAAATCGATTCCCAGTCAATTTTACTGGGCAACCTTTTACTACTAAACGGTCGTGTGTCAGTCTCTGTGAACGCCTGAAAAATGTAAAGGAACATTTTAGTGAGAAAATAAGACCTTGTTTACCTCGCTAGCGTCAGCATGTGCAACACAACATGCTGTTAAAAATGTGTCCCGTTTTCCAAAAGACTTTGGCAGACGCCATTGAGGTCTAGATGTGGGGTGGCATACGGATTTACGTGGCTCAGCCATATAAGACGAAACGAAATTTAGGTAAGCTGGGGTGGGGGAAAAATTAGCCCAATTACAATCGAATTTTTTCAAAAACTTTGATTTCTTTTCGCCTTATATGGCCGAGTTGCGCAAAATGTGCACTGCCCTGTATTTGGCAGAGGGGGACATAGTTTTAACAGCATGTTGTGATCATACTGCCGATCCGACTTAGGCGAAGGAAAAAAGCCGGAATCAGATCAAATGGACCAAACATTTTGATCTGAGTTGAGCAAAGATCCGACTTACATGCAGAAATTAATAAGGAAAACGTGCAGGATCAAAGGGACTAAATGATTTTATTCGAATTGAGCAAAGATGCGACTAAAACGAATCCAACTTATGCAACTGCAAGGTTTACTGTATATTATATTAAAATGTACAAAATCCCAAACATCTGTGCATTAAGGAATTGATCAATATTTACCTGTGTGGTTTATGTAATTTATGGAGCTGACTAGTTTCATCTTGAATTGTAGTATATACAGATTCACCTAATCTCATAATATCAGCTTTAATACCATCTCTTCTCTCTAATCTTATCTAAATATTCAAAAAAGAGAGAGAGAGAGAGAGAGAGAGAGAGGAAGAGAGAGAGAGAGAGAGTGAGAGAGAGAGTTAGAGTTTTTAATTCCACTTAGTACAAACTAGGTTATTTCGTATTTAAGGACTAACAAATGGTTACATTTTATTCAATAATTCACATGCGGGTAGAGGTATTTAGCAGTGGGTTGATACTGGAGGACCTGGAGAAAACCCACGAGGTTGGACAGGCGACCCTACTTCTTGTCACATGCAAGAGGGGAATCGAAACCACACCACTTGACCCAATGATAAAGACAGACCATTTGATTTCACACGTGTGCGTTAAACTACTAGATTCCCCACTGGCACGACAAAATATTCCTCATTACACATTGTAAGGCACATGTCTGTCTTCAATAGCTCGGTTGATGCAGAAAGTGGGATGTTAATCTATTTCATTTCCTTTCTTCAAATAAACAATAACATGAAAAACATATAGAAAACATTACTTTAGCTTCACCACATGGCTGATGCTGTCCACCACTATACATGCATTATACTGAAAACTGAGAACTAATGCTAAAAAAAAACCACCGTGTATTTGCACTTGTATTCCCCACATTGCCATTTATCAGTGAAAAATCAGTTAAGTGCCTTTGAAATATTAATGTAATCCAAACTGATTTTATTTTGATCATATTATAGATAACATCGCAAAATGTATATACTATGTGTATAGAAATGAGATGTTGTTTAATGGCACGTCCCATGGTCCCATGTGTATAGTTTTTGACAATGCACATGCATCTGAACAGTTCCGTAATCACTTTAGAAATTGTCATTTAATGTTGAACATTCACTGAAGTAACTTTTATCAGAGCCCATTTCTGGCTGTGTAGGCTAGTACCATGATTACAAAACTCTAAGAAAGATTATAATAAATGTATTTACCTGTGTTACTATATAATTGTTATTGTTGTTGTTGTTGTTGTTATTGTGTTGATATTGTGTATTGGGTATATCTATACTATATATACTATAACATGATACTACACTAATCAACTGATTACATATAGCACGATAACATTCTATACCATAATAATACTTCTTATTACTTCTAGTTGGTGCTATGGGCAGATAACTAGAGTTTCTTGGTACAATTACTGCTACCAGACGCACATCTTCTTTCTAAAATAAAATGAATTAAATAGTGATTAAAATTTTGTTAAATCTAAATTTACATACTTTGATCATTAAAATAATGACTCTGTCATCGACATCCTGTGTCCTTGCATACCAAAACGATAAATTTGTTTCCATGGAAACACAAAAATGATCAAATATCAAGAAATTTTTAATTAGCAAAAGGCAGAACTACTATCTACCCCTTTAACTTTGTTCAGTATGGGTCAAAAGGTAAGAAAATTTGATATTTTTTCAAATTTCAATATGACTATTCTTTAAATGGCATTAAGTAATTGGAACATAATCAAATAACACACTATGCTCGCTGATTTTGCATCCCATTGGAGGGTTCGCACTGCTCTTGTATATATATAACCATACTATATATTATTTTCATTTTATTTATATGTGTTATATGCTTGATAACGACTTGTGAAATCTTGTTGAAACATCCCAAGGAAATAAACCATAGTAATTGTTATCCATAAATAGTGTGTTATTTGATTCAATATGACTAGATTATTGATATCCCCCAATGTTTCTGTCCTTGTAAATCAACCCTGAAAAATTAATGTAAAAATTATCCAACTTACCATTTTTTGCAGTGGTTTGAATTTCATATCTTTAACAATTTCCATTGAAATACTAGAATACCATTCCATAACAGACTTGATCTTAAAAGAAAATACAACATCTAATAAAAATGATAGCGTTATAATGAAAACTCTTCAAATCATTTGCTTATTTTGCTGAATGTTTAATTTGGGGCTACTTTCAATCAATATGATTAGAGGGGCTTGTATTGAGAAATCAAATACCTGTATTGGTCCATGATAATCAAGTCTAACATCTGTAGTATGTTGTTTATGTGTAAAACAGTGACTGGTTGATTGGTCTAGTATTTTACGGAATGCTGTGATAGTAGGGTAACCAGTAATATTATGATGATTACATATTGTTTTATCTGTTGTACAATTTACTATATAGAAAGATGATCCAGCTAAAAAAGACAGAACAATTTATTATATAGAAAGACGATCCAGCTAAAGTGAAAGAACAAATATCTATATAGAAAGACGATCCTGCTAAAATAGAAAGAACAATTTACTATATAGAGAGACGATCCTGCTTAAATAGAAAGATGATCAAGATAAAATAGAAAGAACAATTTACTATACAGAAAGATGATCCAGCTAAAATAGAAAGACGACCCAGCTTAAATAGACGGAACAATTTATTATATAGAAAGACGATCCAGCTAAAGTGAAAGAACAAATATCTATATAGAATAATGATCCTGCTAAAATAGAAAGAACAGTTTACTATATAGAAAAACGATCCAGCTAAAATAGAAAGACGATCAAGATGAAATAGAAGGAACAATTTACTATATAGAAAGACGATCCTGCTAAAATACTAAGAACAATTTACTTTATAGAGAGATGATCCTGCTTGAGTAGAAAAAAAAATTTACTATAAAAAAAGACAATCCAGCTAAAACATACAGAAAGAACAATTTTCTGTAGATTAAGTATAAAAATTTCAAAACAGTTTTCAGATATATGTCATCTTGAAAAATTCACCAATTGTATTAACTTGTTTATAGAAAATAAAAGTATAAATGGGAATACCTATTGTATTAACTTGTTTATATAAAGACTGAAAAGTAGGTAAATGTCTGGTACAGCTCGAACAATCACTTATTATAAATATTACCTGAAAAACAAAGTCAAATGTATTAAAAACATGTCACAGAGTTTCAGAATTAATATACTCAAATAGCAAATAATAGAACTGCCAAATTCAGAAATTTGCTCTGATGTTTAAATAACCACAGTAGGATCCTTCTAAAATTATTGCCTTGACAGGTACCATATTAGACAGAACAACCATTCTTGTACCCCTGAATCAGTAAGTGCAAACGACAAACCTGCGGACACATCACACACACAATACACGGATATTGTAAATAATAAGTATGTTTTTAAAGCAACCCGCAGTTCATCAGAAAAATGAAATAGGGTTTAATGTCCTACTGTTTTGCTCCGAACTGGGCTAATGAAGATGAACATACGCTACACAGTGTGCTATGAGGGAAATTTTGCCCGGGCAGCAGTTCAATGGCCTAATCTTATATCGAATTCCAACTGTCAAGGGATCTTTTACTTGCATACCATCTGAAGGACTAGACAGCTGTCCTTGTCAGGCCCTCCCTCCCGTACCACTGACAAGAGGAAACCATGTCAGAAAATCCCGATGAACTTTCTTGGCCAAACAGGGATCGAACACGCGACCTCCAGACTAGCGAGCCAGTGACTTTACCAGTTAGGCATCCATGGCTCCATAAAAAGAACCATGTCCCAGGGTTTATTTTTTGTTGCTTATTTCTGATTGCAATGAAAAATTTACCATATAAACAGAGCTAATTTCAGCAGAATTCAAAGCAAATTGCAAATTTGATGCCCATAATGATTTCTTCAACACATCATTCCAGTTGAATTGTGTTAATTTCTTCATACCATGTATAGTTGGATATTTTTTCTGATATAGAAAAATAATTAGATGTGTAAATAAAACAATTAGTTCAATATTTAACCAAGTACAAATCACAAAGTATGGCACCTTTAACTGAAAGTATCATATCATAATCCTATCAAAATGTTTATTCTTAATTGCCCCGACTCTAGGATTAACTGGACTGATAATAGGAGAATATTGTGTTAAATTACAGAATGTACTAATAAAATGAATGGATATTGTTAGACAGAGTAGAGTTGAATTTCTGAATGTAATTCATTTGATATTAATTCACTCAAGTATTGGATAACTTGAAAAAAAAAAATTAGTTTGAAACAACTTTGATAAAGATTATGAAATATCCTCCCATTTTTTGATAAAGATTATTAAATATCCATTCATTTTATGATAATGATTATGAAATATCCTTTCATTTTTTGACAAAGACTATGAAATATCCTTCCATTTTTTGAAAAAGACTATTAAATATCCTTACATTTTTCAAAATAGACTATCAAATACCCTTACATTCTTTTAAAAAGACTAAGAAATATCCTTACATTTTTTTAAATAGACTATCAATAATTAAATATCCTTACATTCTTTTAAAAAGACAATTAAATACTTACATTTTTTGTTTTATTAGATGCAATATTATGACTGTGTTTATATATAACTGTGTAGTCAGTCATATTATGATAAACTGTTGAACATCTATAACCACTGGTAGGATCTTCAATCTGTGGACAGACCTGATAAGATTCACTTCTACCATAGGGTTCATATACAAACACATCACCTGTAGTATGTACTATATTATAACCCATATATCTACAGGTGTGGTATATAGAATAACTAGTAGGTCTATTGGTAGGTAATAATGTTTGATTTACTTCACCTTTATCTGAAATATTTTAGAATAAAACTATGTACAGAATTGATCATAAAGCATACTATGAAAATATGTTTCAGCATAAAGAGAGAGAAATGGGGTTTAATGTCCACTTGACACAAACTAGGTCATTTTAGGACTAACACATGGTTCATTTTTATTTCAATAATTTACATGTGCGTAGGGGTCTTTAGCAGTTGGAGGATATTGGAGGAAACCGGAGCACCCTGAAAAAACCAACAATGTTGGACAGATAACCCTACTTTTTGTCACGTACAACCGGGGAATCAAAACCATGTTCCATTCAGCATAAAGATACATAAAAATATGGTGCAGAATCTAGCGTAAATTATAAAAGAATGAAATGGGTTTTATCATTTTACTTTTCTGATTCAACTAGACAAACGAAGATTGACATATAAGCCATACACCGTGCAGTGACCTCTTATTTACAGATCTTGTAACGTGTTGACAAGGGTATACACACATTCTTCATACCATACAAACAACTAGACACTTGCCGAAAGGTCTTACTCATGTGCTTTAGATAATAAGGTCTGTCATTGAGACAAGTGGAGTGGTTTTTATCTCATGCTTGTACGTGAAAAGGAGTAGGGTCACCTACAGTACCTCATGGGTTTTCTTCAGGTTTTCCGGTTTTCTCCCATTAGTAAAGAATTATTGAGATAAAATCGTACTATGTTAGTCCCAAAATGACCTAGATTGTGTTGATTTGATGTCAAACCACATTTCCCTCTCTCTTGTAAGGCCGGCCTACACCGTTTACAAGGGAAAATTGGGCTGGAAAATACTGAACTTGGGCAACACGTTGATTGAATCCCCGAGCCTTTAGGTTAGTGAGACGATGCCATACAAAAAACAACATCCCTTTCATATAGAGGAGTTCAATGGTAGGGGGTATCAGTGTTCTAGAAATAGTATGACTACCCTACCTCAAGCATGTTTCTTAAAACAGTTTATAATAATTTACCTTCTTGAAATAAAATAATAAATGGAACCTTCTCAGCATGACGAGAATTAATATATCTCTGGACAACTGAAATATACATAAAAATAGATAAAATTAATTCTATTTATTCTTTTTCTAATAAGGAAAGAGACTCTTTTCTCACCCTGGTTTTGGCAATAACCTGTCAACTATGTACTCCAGTCAATCATATACCCCAGTCAACCATCTACCCTGTCAACCATATACTCCAGTCAACCATGTACCCTGTCAACCATGTACCCTATTATCTACCCGACAACCATGTACCCTGTACACCCTGTCAACCATATACCCTGTCAATTGTATACACAATCAACCATGTACCCTGTCAACCATGTACACCCTGTCAACCATATACCCTATCACATACAAATATTCTTTCTTTTTTTATGTTTTCTAGTTTCTGATATTTGATGGGCATTATAGACAGGCCCAAACACTTATGTAGTAAGTACAAAAGAACTGCACCTTACATAACAACCATGTTGCTAAAGTAGAAAATATGCAAGGACAGCATTAATAACTTTTTCTGATGACTAAAAGCACTATTAATGTGCTTTTGTTTTGTCAAAGGATCAGAATATATTCTGACTTGTAAGTAGGACTGGATTCAGATGTTAAAGTGTAAATCCTAACTTTCCTACCTGTCCTGTCTTCAACAAGATCAACCAAACCAAATCGAATAGCTAGAGCATCCTGTTGAAAATCTTCTATCATGGTCTTAAAGAATGCCAGGAATTGGTGTGTATCATCAGCCCAATAGGCATAGAAACCAACAATATATGGAACATATTTTCTTGATTTATAAATTGTCACCACCTTCTCTTTAAAATTTACCTGTAAAATTAAATGAAATGAGGTTTAACTTCCGACTTTTCTGGACCAACATGGCTAATGTAGATTTGCACATACCTATGGGAGATATTTTGCAAAAAACAGTTTCATTTATGCACATTCTTCGTCAAATTCTAATTTTCAAAGTTTCAAAGAGCACACAGTTGGACCTCATTTTCTGACTAACTTGATGCTTTCCCATAATATCTGAATCAAAAGTGGTGTCTATGGGAACAGAATGGAAACATTTAATAAGGGGAGGTAATCATGTTTATACCCCATATTATCTCCCCTTAGACCACATTTCTGTCTACGTTTTTTTGTAGTGAAATGAGTAATACTAGTGTGCTATTTTCAAAAAGTCTCATTTTGAGGAAAAGACTTGGCAGTATTTAATACTGCAACAAGTAAATATTTTATCTATCTAATAGTGACCGCTAAGAAAAAGATATCCCAATAAAAATGATAAATGAATAACAAATACAAATAACTTACTTTGTCGAAATGAGGGGTATTGATAACAGAAGATAAAATACAAGTTTCTAATCTCTTTCTTTGTATTTCATGACCAGTAAAATATTTCAACTCATAATCCCCATACTTATCTAGTAAAAGGAAGGAAATTCAGTACATTAAACATACATTATGCAAGAGCTAAATCTGCCTATTGCAGGTCTTTCTTTAGGCCTGAAATGTTATATAAATTATTAATTAGACATTAATTAACTTATCCAGACCATAATCAACTCTCGATGTCATCGCTAGTCTGCGATATTTACTGGATTAGGATCCAATCTGCTGCTCTACGCTCATTCATGATTAAATCAAGAAATGGATAATCGAGACTATGTATTTTATCGTACCAACTTCCGTAATGATGATCGAGGTTAGGCCAAAAAGTCAATCGCTAAATTCTCGGTTTAAAGAGGACCAATTTCACTGAAATTTTCAGCAAATTCCCTTTACATTATCTAGTTTTTAACTATTATAGCGAGAACTGCCAGCTCTTTATCTAATCTCCAATAATGTATCTTTAATAAAAGGACACTATTTTTGTCTCTGAAGAACAGTAATCATGGGCATCCTAAATGCTTACTTTTAACTGAACAAGTTATAACATTTCTTCTTTTTGGAGGGGTAAATTTTGATATAACATTTTGCTTCCTACTTATTGTTGAAGTCTAACATATCATTCAAAATGAAATGGGGGGTCTGATTTTCACTTTTCTGTACCTGCTGGACTAATAAAAACAGACATACAAGCATCCTCGGTTACCCAGTGTACTCATTCCGTTCTACTCCACTATACCCTGGGTTAATCCATAGGATTTCCACTATTTCAAATTATCTGCCCTGGCCTAGAATGTAGCTACAGTTTACAAACCAATCGTTTCACCTTTCGTTTTTATAAGGGTAGATAACCATATTCATGTCCATTTACTGAATGATTTATGTAAATAATGTATATACAAATGTATTTATAATTTATTTATATTTAATTGTATTATCAAAATCTGTAGTATGTGTTGTTGATTTCAAATATGTATAACATCTACATGTTTGACTTTTATCATTATTACTATTCGTTCATTGTCTGAAATACGTCATTCTGTTATGTTTATTATTATTGAACTTATACTTGCCAATTTGATTCACACTAACTTGTCTACGATATCACGTGGACATAAAATTCCGGGAACGAATGAACGATTCTAAATATAACTAATGACCCTACATTATTATATGTACATCCGGTCTTCATTAACATAATATATAATTGGTTGTTAATAATTACGCATTTAGAATAGGCCAACTCCTAACATTGGGATTTGTCAATAAAAATAACACAATCATCAAGGGCGGATAACTTGAAAACGTGTCTCCCCCATAGATTAACCCAGGGTATAGTGGAGTAGAACGGAATGAGTACACTGGGTAACCGAGGATGACATACAATGTGCTATGAGGGAAATTTTGTCTTCACAAATGCCTAATCTTAAAACTTTCGACCAAAGATTTACTTACAATATTTTTCAATTCAGAACATTTTGTCTTACCTTTCTTTTTTATTACAATAAAACTGGGTATCGTTCGAACATTAAACTTTTCCTGTAATAATCTAAAAAATAAGTAATATATAAAGTTGAATTAGAATCTTTAATTCATACCAAAACCAAATTTATCCTTTTCTTATTGATTTAAAGTGAGAAAGAGAGAAATGGATTTTAACGTCCACTCAACACAAACTAGGTAATTTTGAGACTAACATATGGTTCAATTTCATTTCAAGAATTCCCTTGTGCATTGGGGTCGTTAGCCATGGGAGAAACCAGAGGACCTGGAGAAAACCCATAAGGTTGGATGTACAAGCTAGGGACTCAAAAACACGCCATTTGACTCACTGAAAGACCTTGTGACCTAACCTGTACGTGTTAAACCATTTGTTCACCCAACACCCTTGTTTTAATTAGAAAATTACCTGAAATTTGTAGAATCCGGGTGAACAATCAACACCTGACAATCTTGTATTACAAGACATACCTGTAAGATAAAGTTTTATATTGTTTTTGTCCCAAATATTTTCAATATCAAAATAACATAAATAGAAAAGTTATCCAATCAAATAACCTCAAAAATAAGCAGGTAACAATCTGTAGTCTCAGTGAGTAAACCACCAACTTGCTAACTGTAGTCCCTCATGATTTTCAGGTGTGGATTCTCCTTGTGCATAGGGTTGGACAGATGACCTAGCAAGAAACATCGTCTAGTCATTTGGATGGGACAAAAAAAACAAGATCCTATCAACTCGCTGGCATCATGTAACAGAACCATTGACGGTTGGAAATCAATGAAGAGTAGGTGGGCATGGCGTCTTCATTAGTTTGGTTGGTGCAGAAACGTAGGATTTTAAACCCAATTGCAATTTCTGGTAGCCTCTGGTTCAAAGGTTATCTTCCATCTCATGTCTGTAAATTCTAACTCCAATTCCAAACTATTGCTACACTCAGTTGTATTAGCATTTGAGATGTTCAAATCACTGACAAACTACATATATTCACAACAAATAGGTAAACTATATATGTAGTACATTTAACAGTAAACAAATCACTGTGCAATAAATTCAACTATGCCTGTGAAATATACATGTAGTCACACTTTGTAACACACATGTTTAAATGAGATCATTATACATAGACCTGTGGTATGGTACAGTGTATTCATTAATAACTTACATTCAATATACATCTTACTCCTGCTTTATAATACACAATGTTTAAAATGTATATTATACACAAGCACAAAGGTTGTGTATTCATTTAATTGTACTGATAATCATTTTGTAATGATGAAATATATTGACTACTAAATATAGTGTATTCACTATATACTACTATAGTCTATTATACCAAGAATATTTGGAGTATAGTAAAGAGAACCATTAGCAGAGACTAGCATGAACTGCATGGGAAGAGTAACTCTGCTTGGTAGAATGACAGCATATAAACCAGTTTGTATTATGGGACGACTGTTTAGTTGTTACATATACATTGAAATACTTTGTACTAACCTGATAAGCTAGGTTTTCTAGAGTTATATGAGTATGGTTATCGGGAAAAACCAATAAAGTTATATCATGTGATGCTGTACTAGTTTCAATATCATCTTCACTAATAATATTTAAATAACTAGCATACTTTGTTTCCTGAAATAAAAATAAACAATGCAAGAATTGTTTTTGAAAACAGACTGATATCCAATTGTTTCCAGCTGTCTGTGACTCTATTATCTAGTAAATGGAAACACTCCATCAGCAACTTGATAACGCACATGAAATAAAGCTCGCCGAGATCAAAATAAATCTGTGACAGACCCAAGGATGTAGACTTCTCCCCAACTCAACTTGCATAGTTGCATGGGCTTAGACCTTTAGTCCAACCCTGCAAAAGGGACAACAGTTTTTCTTAACCTGCCATAATGCCACCAACCATTAGTAGAAATCTGATTTTCCAACACTCCAATAGAAATTGAATTTAATTTGACTTGGTTTCCACTATTAACAGAATCAACCAACCACACCACATTTTTTTGTTTTAACTTTAAAATACAACCCCACCTTTGAACATAAATCATTCATGGAATGACCACCAATAGATTAATAAGGGTAGTGATGTTCTCTGGAAGGTTAGCAAGGGCGTGGATTTGTCATAACTTTTGGGGGGGACGACAAACCCTGGAACATTTCATTACCAAACGAAACAAATAATTACGAACAGTTTACTGTACCAGTGTTATTTCGATGAAGGCTGTAACTAGGGGTAATATGATGACAATATGGAAAAATTGACGACCTACATCAAAGCTGCATAAATATATGAAGTTAAGTGAATCGTTCTACGATCAGGACTGTTCTCTGAATATCTTTGCGACATGATGGGGGTCATTATGCACCGCACACACTCTCAAATGGTTTAGTCGGTTTTGCGTCATGGAGTTGCGCAGCCAAGTTTTGATACAGCGATGAGTGCTGATGGATCGCTCGGCTGAGCAGGAACTAGCAGGGTTCAGCAGTGTGAGATGAGAAGAGCTTCGACAGAAGGGAACATCTGCCTCACTTCAGGTGACATAATGAGGAACGCTTCGTGCACAAGTGAAATAGATTTGGCCGAAAACTGGCGCTTGAAGAATGTCAATTCTTGTTACTGATTCAGTTCCAGATACATAGAAACAAACTCACCATCATGTGGATATAAACCTGAAAATCTGTCCTGGCGATCAAAACCATGGGGGCGGGGACAGAGACCTATTCGTCCCCCCCTTCCGATTCTTAGGGGGGGCGGGGCACGTCCCCCTTCCCCCCCTAAATCCACGCCCATGACAGTTAGTGGTGGAATAAACCTCAATGAAATGTAAGAAAAGCGGAACAATTTTGACAGTTGATTAACCATGTTTGTTTCGATATAAAACCTATGATAAGTGTACTTACTAATTGTTGCAGCCATGTGTTTAACTGTATTATACTGGTATTACCACCATACTCGTGTATCTGATTTGGTCCTAGATAACATCGAAAGTGAGGTAATTCTGTAGGTGGTTTTACAAATGGTACAGATTCCTAACAAATAAATTAACAAATGGTACAGATTCCTAGCAAATAAATAATCAAATGGTCCAGATTCTTAACAAATAAATAACCAAATACACAAAGTCAATGTAAATCATAAAACAGATTTTTTCAAGTTCGTAAAAAAAAAATAAAATTTATGCATGATTGTAAACAAAAAAGCATACTTGATGCCCATCTGGGACAGATATTAATCTAATTTTTTTTCAAAAAATGAATACATCAAGGATAGATATACAAAAATAAGAAGCTTTAGTTCCAATAACTATATACATGTATATACTAGGAATTTTTAAAGAGAGAGAGAGAGAGAGAAATGGGGTTTAACGTCCACTCGACACAAACTAGGTCATTTCGGGGCTAACATATGGTATAATTTTATTTCAATAATTCGCTTGCGCATAGGGGTCTTTAGCAGTGGGAGGAAACCGGAGGACCCGGAGAAAACCCACGAGGTTGGACAGGCGACCCTACTCCTTGTCACGTACAACCGGGGATTCGAAACCACACCAGTCGACTCAATGACAGACTTTATGATACAGCGCGCGCACGCTAACCATTCAGCCATCCAACCCCCCAATTTTTAAAGAACATCTATACATATTCAAACCTTGTACCAGTAAATCACTTATGATAGTTTTGATTTAAACAAATGATTTCAAATGTCAGAAGTTTTTTTTTGCTTTTTAGACATAACCTTATTCTTAAAATAACATTAATAAAAAAACAAACCACAACACAATGGATTTACTACTTCTTAGTTCATTTCATGCAAGAATTGATCAAGACATCTGTAAGAGTATTGACAGATTTGCATGAAATAAAGTAAGAAGTAGTCAATCCATAATATTCTGGGCTTTTAATTAATGTTCAATCTGTTTAAAATATAGATCTTTATTTCGTTTCATTTTTTTGTTTGTACTTTCGATGGCTTCTACTACATGAAGATTTGACCGGTTGTAATGAGAGGTTGCATCAAGAGGTCATGCGAGCAGCTTTTGACCCTTTGACATTAGGCATTTGATTAACCAATCAGCTTTGATGTTTCTAGTGGGTTACCCACAGTTCCATGCAACTCACGATAAAAACTCGCCATAACAGACCGTTTCATTGGCTAATCCCTCACATCAATAGGAACGCAGGTTATATAACAACTTTTCCAGATCCTAGTGTAGTAAAGACAAGAAAAACGAAATTTTGAACTATAAAAAACGAAATGAAATGGAATCTGTGTTTTAATCAGATTGAATTAATGTTATATCTCTATTTTCTAAATGTCATTTAAGGATATTATCATCATAGTACCTTAGTTATTTGGTAAAATCCTAAATTCCATCCAGTCTTATGTTGATTATTTTCTATTGCAGTTGGCCATAGTTGTTGCAATTTCTCCTTAAACTCTTTGTCTTTATCTGAAAATGATTGCTGACTATTTTTTTTATATTTTCAATTTTTCAGGCCTCAGTTGAACTAAATGTAGATTTATACACAAACATGAATTGGAAATTTCATTATTGTAAAATGTTTATCAATTTACTCTGAGCCCACCACCCTGTAACAATGCTAGATTCCAGAACTTTCAGAGTTTAAAGATGGGTTCCCGCGTACAAACTGGGTGATTTAATGGTATATCTGGACTAAAAACATATTCAAACTAATTAATTTGTCATAATTATGCTTCAAATCCTTCTCAAACATTGTAATTGCGAAGGAATGCCCTGCTATTAAAATTCGATCAAACCAGGTCATGTGTACGTCACGTCTTGGAAATCAGAGGAGAATTCATTGCACACATAAGACGATGTTTTCTTTAATCGCTTACTATTTATTACAAATATCGAATCCTAATAAAATTCTCGGATTATCCGTCATTTTTATCTCAGAAAGTGTTGTACATCTAACTCTTCATAAAGTTTATCAACTTGTACATCAAGCGCTCAATGTTCGCGTGTGACCTTTGACATCACGCGTGCAGAAATTCTTAATCGTCGGGCTGTTGATTAGGGGAACCCTTACATTTTTGTCCTGTATACGCTCCATGAGTGTTTTTCGGGGAATCCAGTATTTTTCTAGTAAGATTGGATATCTCTTCTTTCCATATATACCAAAATTGCCATACTGGAAATAACCACCCGATAAATACTTTTCTGGGAACCCATCTTTAAGCTTGGTTTAAAAATAAATAATCGGAAAACTTTTTAAACCTTGCATAAAAGGGAAATGAAGAAGATTCAATAATAGATTTTGAGACTAACAAGGTAATATTAGACTCTGGGGAAATGGAGAGAATTGTACAGGGAGAGTGTCCATCTCTTTCAGATTACAAAACTGTCAAGGGATCATTTACTTGTATCAATTTATACTACAAGGGAGCTTAGTTATCATCCCATCAGACCAATACTATACACTTTCCTTGCCAATGGTCCGTCTCAGCCAATGCTGGGAATAGAACTATCACAATCGCAAAAACAACCACTGCTGTTCTAAACAATTTATTATGAACTATATAACATACCAAGTGTATCTGTTTTATTTTGTAATAAAACACAGAAAGGCTGATGATACGAGTGTAAAATGTTGTTCTGTAAATCAACTGTTGTAAAGATTCTTGGTAATGTGGTTAGTGACGTGGAAAAATCTAAAACACAACAAAAATAAATAAAAGAAGAAAAGTTACATTCTAAAATGATTTACTATTGAATTTATTGCCAAAATCTCAAAATGTTTTTTTCTGTACTCATTTTCCTACGACTTAACATGGTAGTGCATTAAGGAGATGTGGCATCGAATCATGAATTGTGATAACAGTGAGGGTAGCTACGTGAACTACATTCAGAGCTGATTAACTATTGAACACGAAGCCCCGCCTTCACAATGTCAAAGATGTCAGATTCAAAATGCCGGAAAGCCATGTTATTATCGCTACGACTTAAAAAAAACATGATTTGTGTACCTGTGTCAGGTAGGATTATATGCTTAATTGTAGTTGAATGTGGCAGAAATGTTATGAATAATTAATAATCAATCGTTGTTTTGATGAAAAATGTTGTCAACTTTGCTTACTGAGGCCCGATATGGTCCACTTTCGAGATTTGCAAGGTAAAACTATAGCACCATCCCTTATCTCGAAACACGGAGCGTCGGAGGGTTGAATGAAGGTTTCTTACAGTTACAGAGGAAGGGCAGTACATTACCAGCATAAAGTGAACACAGGCACAATTTGACATAAATACTAAAATTTTGAATTCGTGGAATCATGCTTGAGGATTTCAGTTACCTATATATAGAGTGAATATAAATATAGCTGTAAAAATAAGATGCAAAAACATCATAATATTATTGGATTTTCACTTAGCTTCCCTCGCAACATCAATGGCTTTTTAAGACTCTATTAGGAAAATCGCTTTAATGGGAGGTAACTCACCGTTTAAAAACTGGAATTAGTCCACTAATCCTTCTTTTTCACCCTTTTTGTTTATTTCATGATCTAGAATTAATGACAAGCGTTTGAATTTTGATTTTCTGTAAAGTTTGATGAATATTAATGATTTGGGGACGGAAATATCAGACGTCTATTTAGATAATTTCCTTTAGAAAAAAAAAAAAAAAAAAAAAATCCCTGTTGCAGTATGGGCTCAAAATCGACCAGTTCAAACCCCTTCAAGATTTTCTAGCAAATAACAGTGTCAATTTTTCACAAACAATCTTATTTATAACAATAACCTGTTTACATTTCCAGTAACCAATAATACATAAAGGCTAATTATTTATTTATAAAAGCTGAATCAATTCGCTAGAAGTACAAAATTTGGCTATGTTTCTGAATTCTTTGACGTTCACAAGGAAGTGGTATCAGATGTTAGATGCATACAAACGAAGATTAATTTTCTATCCAGATTACACTTATGGATAAACAAATCCATATATGGGCTTATGTGTACCAGATTGCTAGTTAATTAGTGATAAGAATTACGTGCGAGAAAAGTTTGATATTTCGGCTTAATTTAGTACAATCTTGTGTTCACTATACGACCGTTTTTATAAAGAAACACTTACATGAGTAAATGTTTTGTGTGCTAGATATATTGTCTGTGAATAGGATGGGTGGAGTGGGGATTCAAATAAAGGTGTGATAGTTTGACTTTGTTTAATTAATCTTGGGCAATGATATTTTGCATCATTAGGTGCACTAAGAAAGGTTTGGAGGAGCACCCCTCTGTTTGGTCGCAGTTAGGAGGAACAAACTCCTACACCACCCTCGTCCTCTGGCCACAGCATAGTAACTCGAGATAACCATATCTAAACAGAACATTTAAAAAGGTCGTCGGTACACAAACTATAATGTTTCTGTCCACGTCAATTACGCATGGATCCGATTTCTGGATAAAATATCCTTGGTTCGTTTAGATTTCAGTAATTCGGTGTAAACTGGATGCATATCGATATTCCTATTGTTCTAATAGCGTGACGATGTTTAACCGGCCGGCAAGAAATCGGTCATCACAGACCTGATGGGTTTATTACCCAATGGACAATGATCAAACCCGTCATTGAATTGTGTTGATGATAACTTATGATAGCCTAGACTTCAATTTAAATTATATAATAACTGGATGGATAACTTTAACATCCCCTCTACATGACGTCTCTGATTAGAAGTTAGATAAAACAGTGCAACTATCATCTTCTACTAATGACCTGGGGCCTGTTAACACGGTTCTTGATTTGGCTAAAGTTACACTTACGCGATTAATGATTTCTCAGTTGTAATATTTTGGTATTCTTCTCAATTAACAATATTTTTTACTCAGTAATTAGGTTTTTATTTTCAATCTTCTACTATATTGGACATTTAATATTTCATTATAGTACCATAGACCCTATAGCTGATTTTAGGATCAACTTAAGTACGAGAAGTGTAGACGGGCCTTAGTCCACAATGATGATAATGAAGGTTACGTCCGAATAAGATGTTGATCCATATGTGTTATCATGAATAATCGGTTACTATATCCTATTACTTAACTCAACTTGACCCTCAGTGAGTTTATCACTAAACACAAGTACTTGTATTAAACAGGATATGGTGTTAAATTATCGATTTTAACACCATTAATATGTATCCCGTGTGCTTTCTAACGTTTTGGTACTGCATTTTAGTAAGACTGTTCCCGTAACTGACGTTTTAAAAAAAATGTCTTTTGCTAGACGATGATTGTTATATGCTGGTAGTATATATGATGACTTTTTCATATACCTTAAATGAAATAGGGATCTATATTAAGAACAGACCTCTGTCTCATATAATCTTATGCAAGGCGCAATAATAGTTCGTCATTAATCAAACTAATTCTTAAACATACAGTGTGCAAGAGCTAAATCCGCTTATTGCATGTCTTTCTTTAGGTCTGAAATGGTATCTAAATTATTAATTATACATTATTTAACTTATCTAGACCATAATCAACTCTCGATGGCATCGCTACCCTGCGATATTTACTGGATTAGAGAACCCGGTCTGCTGCTTCTGTGACAAGGAGTAGGGTCGCCTGTCCAACCTCGTGAGTTTTCTTCGGGTCCTCCAGTTTCCTCCCACTGCTAAAGACCCCTACGCTGCTTCTGATTAAATCAAAAAATGGATAATCGAGATTATGTGTTTTTATCTATCGACTTTAGTAATGATGATCGAGGCTAGGCCCAAAATTCAAAATTCAATCGCCAAATACTCGGTTTAGGGTGGATCAATTTGACTGAAATTTTCAGCAAAGCCCCTTTACATTATCTATTTTTTTTAACTATCATAGTGAGAACTGCCAGCTCTAATTATCTAATGTCCCATAATGTATCTGTAAATATACCCAATGATTTACAATTGATCGATTTTAACAAGTTTGGGACCAATATTATGCTTTTTAATAAAACTACTTTCCACTGTGTATGGACCTAACGTCTATATCTTCCGTTGAGTCTGGAATTTTGTGTCTTTTAGAAGAAAGGTTTTTGCCCAGGCAGTGATTTTGTTATTTTACATATGCGTGGTTGTTTTTATATATGTCTATATTATTATGTGCAAAGTACACAAGATTCAAAAATGACAAATAATACCAGCCTTCTTAAATATAAACCACACAACATGTGATACGATAAATGAACAACGGGGTGATTCATGATGTGTCAACCCAGGACGGAAATAATACGGGATACGGCTTGACCACGGGTGGCTATCTTTTATACGCAATAATGATAGTAGGTAGATACTGGTGATTGGCTATAATAGAGAACACTTAGATAGACAAAAACTGATAATATAGAGGGATTCAACTGTATGGAGCAGAATTCATAACATAATTTTAATTCTTGACCTAATAATACTTTTGCTAATAATTCCCCAATGCCTGGCGATCAAAATTTTGATTTCGAACCAAACAAAGCATCTTTACATTAGATCAGGATCTGGTAGCCAAATTTGAAACTCGAAAACGCTTAGATTGGGTTTCGCATCATTTTATGATGGATTCGGTGATGTGTTCAGAATTTAAGAACAGAGTAAACGAGCACAAATACCCTAGAACAGCATTATTTTGGTTAAGTCAGATATGTAGAAGAAGGGGAAGGGGATAGGGCAGTCTTAGTTTTCCTCACCAACCAAACTAAAGCTGCATTTCCTTTAGTACGGAATTTCCCTACCTATATGTTTAGTTTTTTGCCGTGCGGGCTACCCAAACTGTGTTCCCTTATGTGCGTTTACGGACACGGTTCCGCGTGCGTTTCCGTACCGATCGCGACATGGTCCGTTTCGAAAAACCGTACCGGACGCCGCATAGAGAACCGTATCCGCACCTGCACATAAGGAAACACTATTACTAAAATTCTATGAAAGTGATTTTTTCCGTATCCGCAACCGGACCGGAGTCGGACCGGATCCGTACTAAAGGAAATACAGCTTAATTAATGTATATGGATTTTTCATCGGCTAATAGTTCCATCACGTATACACGTCAATGTGTACATAGGGCTATGGCTTTTGTCCCATCCGAAAGACTAGACACATTTCCATGCCAGTAACTTTCTCGGCGAACATCAGGATCGAACCTGTGTCCACCTGATTAGTGAGCCAGCACCATGTACTGAGCCATCATTGCTCCCCACACGAATATGAACCTGTTGGTTTATGACATTTATTAATTTATATATGACGTGATATTTAACGAGATATAGAAACTCGTACGGTGTCAAAGTATGTTTTCAATTATTTTTAATTGATGGCGTAAAGTAGATTACTTCATACAGCCCTGCAGGTTAATTAATCACTACGATATAATTAATGACTACTTTATGGAAAAAGAAGTTTCTCTTAAAAGGCAATTAACTTATTCACTTGACCCCAACCTTTATACTATTGAAATGGAATATTTGGCAGTCTAACGTCAAGTGTGAATAATTCTCATATTAAATCAACATTGGTGTTGTTATCGCATCTTGAAAAGATGGGCTTCTGATATCCAATATTTAAGACAAAATAAACATTTTACCATTGGTACACGATTCGTGTAGCATAATATGTTTCAGTGCCATTTGTAATAGGGGACTCGAAAAACGAGGCTAGACATATTCCACGAGTCATGTCAATCGATGAAGCCATATTCTTATCTGGCGAGCACGCGCAATAAATACTATCGGTGTAGACTGGAATAACCAGGCGCTAGAGATAGCCATTCGATTGACACTTCTGGCGTATTTCGCCGAACATAACTGAAATTAGAGTAAAAACGGAAACGATTGAATGTAAATCAGTTTATATACATTCATATTACATTATTATATGTGTTGCGACCCATTTGTGTCAATTTCTAGGTCCCGCAAATATTAGCGATTTAGCTCCTTTAACTGTCACCGCAGCGCCAGGGTGATATTTATTTAAATATACACCCCACATTTCTAGATACATGTAGGCCTATATTGATTTTCACCGTACGGAAATTCATCAAGTTCTGAGAAATACTGTACATTGTAGTTTTTTACGATTTGCTCAGCAGCATCCAGGGTCTACCAACGTTAAAAATAAACCCAGTGGAAGAATTGCAGAAATAATCAATATGGGGCATTTGATTTAAACCTGGCATACATGATAGATCTTTTGTTTTATTTAAACCCACGGATGATTAATACTTTTGGGAGTATCAAAGCGTTTGTTGAAGAAATGAAATAAATCATAATTCTGGGGAAAAAAACAAATAAGGAAGTAGCCTATAGCTTGATGTTTTATGTGTAAGGCCGACCATTTATTAGAACTTAAATCGTTTTCTTGACTAGGGGCTAATAACCTATACCCCCCCCCCCCCCCCCACGACATATTTAGTTATTCAATTTCATTTAATTAAATCCAAAGGAATATTGTAATATATATTTAAAACA